TGGATTCTGCTGGTAAAAACAGGAAGGAAATAAACAGAGGAAAAAAAAGTAAACAGGAGGACATAAAAGGAGCAGATAAATGTGCTGTGCCATGTGTTTTAGGGACACTCTCCCTGAGGAGAGAGGTGGGACCTGATGACCCACTGTGGTTCCTTCCAACCTGACCCTTCTGTGATTCTGTGATTCCTTGAAATGCTCCCGAGTTGTTTGCAGGGGGGTGTGCATAGAGCACAGTAACATCTGGTGCTCTGTAAGCACATCAGACTGATGTGGCTTATCCTGGAAACCAGATTAATGCAATAAACAGGACAATGCTGAGGCAGAAATTAGGAGCAGCTGCCCCAAGTGAGGCTGCGTGGAATAAACTGTTATGAGAAGGCTTTAAGGGACAGCAGTGGAAACTAGGAAGGGTCTCTGACATGTCTTGCTCCTGGTAGTGTGCAGGAAGAAAAGAAATGGAGAATGTTGTATTAGAATGACACACCTGCTACATGTAAACTGTGATTTGAAAGTATGATATATTCTGAAAGCAAGTTACTTTGCCAAAAAAATAATGTTGCTTTGTGCTCCTGGTTTAGAAGAAAGTCACTTCAGCAGCTTTTGTATAGTGGTTAAAAAGATGCTAAAATGTGAAGATTAATATAATGAGATGGACTGTAATTCTAAACAATCAGTGCTGTTAATTTTTTGTTTGTTTTTAGTGTTGTTTTATGTGTATTTATTTACTATTTTGAGTGTCTTTGTCCTCAGTTCTTGGGCAGCCTGCCTGTTTTGTGTACAGACAAAAACACTGGCTGCTGACTTTGGGCTTTTGCATCCTTGCAGGAGAGGATACTGAAACAGGGTCCCCCTGAAGCAAACACTAACTTGCACTGTGGCTTTTTAAGCTGAGAAATTGTAAATTCCTTATCAATCAAATGAAGAAAGACTGTTTTATTACAGCTTGATGCTTTTCCTTAGCCCTTATTGCAAGTAGGTTACACAGCCCTCCCAGTGAAGGTAAAGAGGACTCTGCCTTGGGAACATCTGCAGCTTTTGAAGGTCGAGTTCTCTGCCTTTTCCCACCAGCAGTGACTTGGTCCTGCACCAGCCAAGGATGTTTGCTGAGACAAACTGGTTTTATCTTTACTGGGACGGATGTTAAACTTCTCTACACCTCCCCCTCACTTCATTGCTGCTTTTTGTCCCTCCCCAGTCCCAGTGCAGCCCAAGAGGAAAGGCAGAAAGGTGTCTGCAGCCTCTGAAGGGAACTTCAGGGATCAGGGGGGTGACGGGAGCTGTTCCTGTGGCAGAAGCTTTCCCTGGCCTGAGCAGTGCTGTCAGGACCTGCTGTGTTCAAGGCCTTTGGATGCAGCCCTCAGGCTGCTTCCACTGATCCCAGCTAGAGCAGGGCCCAGCCCTAAAGGTGATTCTTGTACTCAGCTGTATTGCAGGGCAGAGTTAAAGGGTGTGATGGAACACCTGCCTGCCCTCTGCCTTCCTGAGATCCCCAGAAAACCCCTTCCCCAGCTGACTGTGTTTAGCAATGGAAACTCTTCAGTATTAGCAGCTGTGTATTGGGGTAGAGCCCCTTGAGATGAGACGTTCACCTTTTTTATGATGAGCCCTTATTGTCAAGGGGTTAAATCATCCTGGGCTGACACTTGCAAGATTTTAACACTGATGGGGATTTAAAGTGGCTTAGCAGCAATGAAATAAAATCCCTCAATAGTGTCTGATGCTTAAACAGAATTTAAAATATGCATGACTTTCATTTTTTATGTGAAGGTTGTAACAAGCTTCACTAGAGGTTAAAGTACATCCTTGGTACTTAAGTATGTATGTAGAGACTGTGCCAAATGGCTCTAGGAGGGTCTTTATGGTCTTTAAAGCACATTAATAAAAAAATTATGAGGAAAAATCTGCCTTGTATCTACAAGATCAGTGTGGCTTTGAAGAGCATGACTTGTGTTGTCTCATACAGGGAAGTGGGAAAGCAGGATTTTATTTATCCCTCTTCAGTAGAACATTCCTTTGCCATATCTGAAACTAATGAATGTAAACTTGTGCCTATTTTTTTTCCTGATTTCCTAAAGGTGTAAAAATCTGTTCTTGTTTTGCTTTTATCTTTTTCTTTGCAGCTAATTTTTTAAAAATATCTTTAATCTTAGGATGTGGGCATTACAAGTGAAATAAAACTTTCCTTCATGATTGTGGCTTTCGTTCCTAAATTTCCTAGAGAAACATGCTAGAAACTCAGTCTTTGGTTTCTTATTTAGGTGGCAGTTGTGGTGGCACCTCTGCTGCTAGAGATGGTATCAGACAAGGCTTGCTGTTCCTAGGGCTAAAATGAGGAACTTGAAAGGTTTAAATGTAAAGTTAAAGGGTTTGATTGCATGGGGAATCTTCCTGGTCTGCTGAAAAGTCCACAGATGAAGTGGGCTCTAAAATAAACAAAACAACTCCTTGTACTTTGAGCTGTGGTTGGAAACTGCGGGGTTTAATTTTTCAGATTTTTCTGTGGTGGTTTGGCTGTGTTGGGGTGTGGTGTGAGTAGGCTGTGATGAAGAGATAACAGAAATCCCAGTGAGGAGCAGAACCTCTCAAACATTGTCCAAGTTCCTGCAGCGTTTACCACCTTCCCAAACTCTGTGAAACCCAGACTAAATTAGCCTGTGGGTTGGTATCAGAGCTGCTTATCTGCTGAGCAAGGCAAGAAAATCATCTTCTTGCTCTCCTGAAACAACTACAGTGGATTTAAATACTTTCATTTTCAAACGATAGAGAAACCAGACTGAAACAGATTGGCTGATTCTTCCACAGTGATTAAAATTTCATCCCTACGCTTAAAAATTAAAAAAAAGTAAAAACGAGTCTCTGTTAGCATTAATGCAAGCCTGTCATGAACTCGGATATATGCAAATAAAATGTTCATGGATAGGAAAATTTTTGTCTCGCGCCACACCCTGATCATTAGTTGAGAGAGTTAAAAGGAGTTTATCTCAGTTTCCATGGAGTCAGACTCCACACTCATTACAGCTCCAGAGCTTTGTGCTTTCTTGTGCTGAGGCACAGAGCAAAGGCTGCTCCGTGTATTGACACTTTTTTCTCCTGTTCAGGAAGGAGTGGGTGAATACAGCAATGAAGCCCACAATTTTCAGTGCTTGTCATGGTACATAGATCAAATGTAATCCACTCTGCCAGCATAACTACATTCAATAGCTTGGAAAGGAGGAGATTTATTTAACTTGAATAATGAAAGGAGTAAATCACTCATGCTCCCTCATAGCAGTCTTCCGCGATGAACTGAGCTCCTGCAGTAAATATTTTCTCTTTCTTTCCAAACAATAAGACTTTAATGCTATTTTACTTCTTGAAATGCCAGGGAGAATGTCAATTATGAAGAGCTTGTTGAAATTAATGGGACATAATCATAATTGAAGAGGGTATGTTATAACTGCAGGAAAAGGAGTTTTCTGCCCTTTTTGAAATCTTAATTAACGGGATGGAAATCCTGGTCCACGTGCTTCCTTGATGCAAATTAAAGGCAGCCCCATGCCTTTGTTGATGTTTTTCTATATTTTTTAATATTGAATTAACTTTGGTTGTTTGGTCTGAAGGTGGATTTGCCTTCTGAAAGCTTTTCTGTCCAATGCTGCTCCATGTTCTGCTTTTCCTGAGGCTCCCCAGGTAAGTCTTATTTCTAGGGTCACATATGGGAACATTCCTTTTGGCTTGGTCTTCAAAGTGATTTCTGCAGTTAAAGGTATTTGAGGGGGGGAAAAAAAGGTATCACCTGGACCAGGTGTTTGCCTCGCCTTTGAGGAATATTTAAAGGATTTTCTGCCAGGACTTGGGAAGAAATTGTTCCCTGTGAGGGTGGTGAGGCCCTGGCACAGGTGCCCAGAGAAGCTGTGGCTGCCACATTCCTGAAGTGTTTAAAGCCAGGCTGGACAGGGCTTGGAGCCACCTGGGCTGGTGAAAGGTGTCCCTGCCATGGCAGGGGTGGGATGAGATGGGCTTTAACGTGCTTTCTCAAACAAACCATTCTGAGATTCATTGACTTTACCTCAGGTTTTTATTTTCACGTGTGCACACCCACACGGGAGCTGGTTGTTCTTTACACTTGTGGTTCCTAGGTGTTATATAAAAAAATCCGAATATTTACTGTCAACTCTTGGATGTTACCAGTGAATCACTTCTGTGTGGGGGAAAAGAGAAATGTTCCGGCCTAGGGCAGTGATGTAGATCGTGTCATGTAGAGCTGAATGTAGTAATACCCTTCTGAAATGAACGATTCTCATTTAAATACTTTTTTAAAAAAAAATATTTCTGTGGATTTTTTTTTTTTTTTTTTTTTCAGCAACTTGATGTAGATCGTGTCATGTAGAGCTGAATGTAGTAATACCCTTCTGAAATGAAAGATTCTCATTTAAATACTTCTTTAATTTTTTTTTTTCCTGTGGATTTTTTTTTTTTTTTTTTTTTTCAGCAACTGTGGCGGCTACAGCGGGGTGTGAGGGCAGCCCGAGCGGGAACCCGCGGGCTGTTCCCAGCGGGGCGTGAGGGAGGTGAGGGAAGCCCGGGCTGTTCCCGCCGAGGTGTGAGGGGAACCGGGGGCGGGTCGCACCGGGTGCAGGGGTGTGAGGGGAGCCCGGGCCGTTCCCACCGGGCTCTGAGGGGAGCCCAGCCCGGCCATTTTCCCGCCGAGCCCCCGCCTCAGCGCCCCGCGCCCGCGCCGCCACTGATTGGCTGAGAACTGCCGCCAGCGCCAGCTGCTGATTGGCCCATCCGCACCGCACCTTTGGCCAATGACGAAACGCCGTGCAGCCCGCCTTTCCTCCGACTGGCTGTGCCGCTCCCTGTGCCCGCCCACTGCCGGGCAGCTGTGCCGCCAGCCGATTGGCTGAGGCGCTCCCCGGGCTGGATGTTTAATTGGGCGGTGCTGGGCTGCCCGGCGCCTCACCTGCCGCGCGCCGCCATTGGCCCGCCGCTCCCCGCGCCCCCGCCCATTGGCCGCACCGCCCCTCAAGAGCGTCCCGATTGGCCGTAGCGGCCCGGCCCGGTATCCGGGTAAGATGGCCGCAGTCGGGGAGTGCTCGCTGCCCGCGCCGTGGCGGCCGGTCTCCCTCACTCACGTCGAGTATCCTGCAGGTAACGCTCCGTTTCGCCGCCGCCGGGCCTCCCCACCGCGCCTCCGGGCGGGGCAGGCCCCTTCCCGCCGCCCCGCGGCGCCGCCGAGGGCCGCGCTGGCGGCTGCCAAATAGTGAGCCATTGAGCAGCAGCGCTGAGGCGGCAGGGCGCGCGTGCGCGTTGGGGGCGGCGAGGCGCGCTGCCAGATTGGGAGCCGCGGCGGGAGCGGCGCTGCGCATGCGCGGTGGGGGCTCCGGGCTGAGGGGCTGCGGTGGGGGGGTCGGGGAAGGGGACCGGGAATGGGCTCGGGAGGGGCGGCTCCGTCCCGGCGATCCCGGAGCCGCCCGGCCCTCCGCCGCCGCCCTGCCCGCTCCACACCGCCGCCCCTGCAGCCCTCTGGCCATGTGTGGTTCCCCCGGCTTCGAGGCGAGGGTCCCACCCACGGCCAGCAGGTCCCGCTGCCGCCCCAGCGGCGTGCTGGTGGCGGTGCCACCTCCCTGCTCCGAGCGCTGAGGCTCTGGCTTGGTGTGTCGCCGTGCCGGCGGGCGCTGGGAGCCCTGTGCCACCCCAGGGAGCGGGGATGTGCCAGGGCGGCCGTGCCCCCCGGGTGGGCTCGGCTGCCAGGGGGGTTTGGGGGCTGTGCTGGAGTGGGGGTGGCAGCGTGTCCCTGTCCCTGCTGGACCTGGTGGTTTTCCTGCGGGCGCTTGGGTCAGTCAGCGCTGAGGGGAATGCCCTGAGCACTCCAGGCACAGGGTGTTTTGTGGCTCAGCTCTCGGCACGGTGGGTTTGTGTCCTGGCAGTGTTGAGGTGCCTGAGTGCAGGATGGGCTGTTCCAGCTGGGACAGGGATGATCCACAAAGATGGAATGAATTTCTGATGTGCAAGAGCAAATGGGTCTGTGTTTAGCTGGCATATGTCTGAACTGTGTCCCATCAGTACCTGTGGCCCTTTGGAGCTCCTGTAGGTGCTTGTTATGATCAGAGATAACAAAAAAATGAAGTGTCAGAGTTACAGTATTAACCATTTGCTCAACATCCAAATCTTGTCCAAACACTGTTCTCAGTATTTCCAGTTCTAGTGAGACCCCAGCTTGCCATGGAGTGCTGCTGTATGTCCTGTTTTACTAACTGAATTTTAGTTCCTGATGAAATCTCCTCTCAGCAGTGCAATTCCTAAAGCTTTTAAAGTGCTTAGGGATCTTCTGGGTTGAAAGTGCCCATTTAGCTAGGAGACTTGAAATGTGACAACACTGAAAAAATATCTGGCACTGGCAATACATTATTTCTTGGCCCTCCCCCTTATGGCTGTTTCATGGTTTTCTCTGATGCTTTATGTGAAATACTGGCATTTCCTTTTCTGTCTTGCATTTTCCTCCACACTGTCAGCTCCTCTGCCATCCCCCTTCTCAAATATATTATTGTGTCAGTTTGGGAGAGATGGGAAATAATGTTGCCAGTAGTACCGATATATTCATCTTTGTATCTTATCTCCTTATCTGAACCTGGCAGTATACACAGAGCGTGCTGTGCTCCATTTGTTGGATTGGTTTGGGAAATGAAGGTGGTGGAAATCGCTGCACAAGGGTTATCTGTCACATCTTGAACAGTGTGACATAACCTGAATATCTTCTCTCTGTTGAGAGCTCTTAGACGGGCAAAGGGAGGAGATGATTGTGTGGAGGGGTAAATCACCACCCAGCTTACGGTTGTGTTTGGAGGGGATGGCACTGTGTTTATCTTGGATAAAACGTGTGTTTATGAAAGCCTATAAAGTGGAGACAAAGGACTGAAACAATAAAGCAGCTGGAGGTATAAAAGTTTGTTAATTTATTTTCATAGAATCATTTAAGTTGGAGAAGCCCCTGAGATCACCACGTCCAGCTGTTCCTCCAGCAGTGCCAGGGCCACCACTAAACCCCATCCTCAAGTGCCACATTTACACAGCTCTCAAATCCCTCCAGGCACGGGGAGTCCACCACTGCCCTGGGCAGCTCTGCCAGGGCTGGGCAACCCTTTCTGTGAAGAAGCTTTTCCTAATATCCAAGTTAGACCTCCCTTGGTGCAACTTGTGGCTGTTTCCTCTTCTCCTGTCCCTGTTCCCTGGGAGCAGAGCCTGATGCCTGTCCCCCAGCTGTCAGAGTTGTACAGAGCCAGAAGGTCTCTCCAGGCTGAGCCTCCCCAGCTCCCTCAGCTGCTCCTGGTGCTCCAGATCCCTCCCAGCTCTGTTCCCTCCTCTGGACATGCTTCAGCCCATGCCTTTCTTGTTGTGAGGGGCACAAAGCTGCCCCCAGGATTTGAGGTGGGGCCTTAGCAGTGTCCAGCACAGGGAGACTTGGTGTCATCAGTGAAGTGATCATCAATCTCCTTAGCTAGTTCATTAATAAATGTATAAAACAGAACCTGCCTCAGAACTGAGCCCAGCCCCAGCTGGGTTTAGCTCCATTCCCCACCAATCTGGCCTGGACAGGTTTTTTACCTGGAAAACAGAGCACCCATCCAAGCTGTGCATGTTCTCCAGGAGAACACTGTGGAAAGCAGTATTAAAGCTTTAGTAAGGCAAGGTGGACAACACTTTGGTATAAAAGAATGACTTGCAGTAAACCATAGGGCTGGAGCTTTTACCTGGATTTGGGGAAGTGCTCTTAACTTTATTTAGAAAGCTCTTTACATTCAGCCTGGGCACATCTGAGCTCCAGGTCCATAAAGTGCCTAGATAATGTATATTTATAAAGGAGTGGTGTTGGCAGCAGGCTCAGCACAGTGGACTTAATGCAGCCTTGTGCTGCTGAGAGGGTCGGAACGAGAAATAGATCCTGCTTTTACCAACATCAATTATTAAGCTGTCTTGGCATGTCATGCACTGCTCTGTGGCAAACAGCTTTGGCTCTTGGCTGATTCCAGGGCTGCTGAGCTGCTGTGGCAACCACCTCTGAAAACCTCACATCTTTAAAGATTTCCAGTGCAGAACCCCAGCTTTCATCTGCCATGGGTGATGGTCCTGCTCCCTGGGACCGGGTAAAAACCTGTCACTGCTGATTCCTGCCTGGCAGAAGAAGCCTGGATTTGAGCTTCTGCTTCTAACTGTGAAGGGGAGAGGTGTCTCCAGAAAGGTGCTCCCTGTTCTGATCTAATGTTTCCTTATCAATAGTAATACATCAGACCCATCCTTAGTTGCTTGTGTGGCTGCACAGCTCCCCAGGGCTTTCTGTGATGTCCACTTTGAGCAAAATAAATGAGAAACAGCAAATGAATGCTGTGGTAATCAACTGCAGACTGGTCTGAGGAATGCAGTCTTGGAGACCTGACTGAAATACTACCCATAGGGAATGTTAGGATTAAACATAGGGAGAAGAAAATCAGCCATGGCAGTGCTGCCTGCGTGTGCTAAAGCATGCTGCTGCAGAAGACAGCCTGTAAAAATATCATCCTGCTGCTGCTTCCAGAATTTTTTGATCCTGGAGCATTTCATATTACCAGCTCTGCTTTGGTGAGACCAAGGAATGACCTGGCATAGTGTCAGGTTGCTGGCAGGTAGGCAGGAATGATCCTTCTTCCCTGTGTCCTTCCAGTAATGAGCTGGTGATTGCATCAGGGCTGTGAAGCCCTTGATGGATGTATAAAAGCTGTATCTCTAATTGTTCTTTGAATCCATTCCCGCTTTGGATCTCATGGTATCTTTGGCACTGAGCTTTGTAGTTTAATGTGGTTGTTGTTTCTTTTCTGTTAAGTCCACTGCTCAGTAATTTCATCAAACACTCTCTCATGTGCAGTGAGAGGCAGCAATTGTTTGCTGTCAATTTCTCCATATAATTCATGACTTTATAGAACTGTTGTATCATCTGTTTTCCTTTTGCAGCTGAAAATCTGATTTATTTGATGTTTTCTGAATGGCTGCTGTTGCATACTTATCTTTGTCCCCATTCTATTTGCCTTTTCTGTGTGTACTCTCCCTTTTTAGCTGGTGACACCACAATTGCATAATAAATTTTTGTAGTGCTGTAACAGTAACTTCTGTTGTGCTCTTAAAAATGTTCTTGCCTTTTTGACTACTGCAGAGCAGTGGATGTTACTCTGAAGGTATTGGCACACACTGAGTCTGAGGGTTTTTGTTTGATAACAACTGAACTAAATCCTGTCATGTCATGGGTATAATTAGGGTGTTTTTTCCCGTATGCATTGCTTTGCATGGGATGACTTTGTGCTGCAGACTTAAAACTCATCTTCAGGGACTTCCTGCCTGTAGGGTGAGTTTCACTGGAGAAACATTGAGTTCCTGGTTTGTTTGGGTTTTTTATTATTATTTGGAGAAAAGAAAGAAAACTTCCTCTCTTCAGTGCAGCTGGGATTCTTAGAGCTCTGGGACTTTCTCACACTGGACACATTCTTTAAGGAGAGAAACCTGATGTGCCAAACCTTTTCTCTGCCGAATGACAGAATATTCCCATTTTCCCAGTTTCTCCAGGATGTTTCCTACAGCCAGGCAGAGTTGGAGAGGTGGGTGTGCAGTGCGTGAAGGGGTTCAAAGGTGCTGTGTCTGTGCTTTGGCTCAGCAGTTCTTGTTGCTGTTCAGGATCAGCACATGCAGCTCCTATAGGAATGTTTGTTCTGATAACCCTCCTGTGGTTCTGTGCGGGCCTCACAAGTCAGGGCTCATTCCAGAGCAGAGCAGCATCTCCTGGAAGAAGCAGATCCCACTCTTGCTTGGCTGCTTTAATGCAGGGTTTAAGTTTAATCTCCCTGCAGAAGTTATGTCTAATTCCTGCCTCTATGCCATCATTTGAAGCCTCCTGTAGATATTATTGCTGTCCCACAGCTCGTGTTATGGGGATATTCACAAGCAGAGGAAATGACTCTTTTATATCATGAATATTTAGTGACACTGCATGTTGTCTGTGCAACTTGCACATATGCACTTGGCCAAGAGCACACAACCAGTGTCAGTGCCACAAATAGATCCTTCAATAGGAAGTGGTGGTGGCAAAGCTCAGTCTTGTGGTAGGATGTGGTTGGGGGTTGTTGATTCACATTTTTACATCCTATACAGGTTGAGTAGATGTGGTGAAGAAGCTCAGCTATTTCCACCGACAGGATGCTGGGTAAAATGTTGAATTGGAGCAGAAGTAGATGCTGAATGAGGGCTGAAAAAAATAGCATGTGTCTGAGCTATGTATAGTGCTGCACGTACTTATCTCTTGGCTGCCCAAAAATGGGGTAGTTGCATCCTTGATTTTTGCTTTTTGAGCTCCAAATAATGTCCAGGGAAGGCTGGACTTTTAAAAAGCAGAATTTAAAACTAAATGAAACCCAAGTAGATTATCTTTTTGCATTTTTGCAATGATTTTGTCTCTCTTCTTGCTGGTTGGAGCAACTGCTTTAAAATTCCCAAGTTTAGCAAATTAAAGGAAAATTAATTTTTTATTAAAAAAGGCAGGGGTGCTGCTTGCTAGATCTGCCTGGACTTTAAACCGTGGCTGTCCTGCACGTCTCCTTTCCCTGGGAATAAGTCTCGGAGCGCACTGGAGCGTGAGAGGAGGCAGCAGTGGCAGAAGCAATCACGCTCCAAGGCCCCCGGAGCGCTGAGCAGCGCTGGCCTTTCTCTCAGAGCTCACTTTGCCTCCTCCTCTGGGGATTTCCAGTCCTTTCGAGCTGGGTTACTTGCTGAAGCTCTGCCTGGAGCTGCTGAGCCAGTGGGGCTGTTTGTGATGGCTTTAGTGTCTTCCTGAGGTAGCTCCAGTGCTGCCTTCAGTGCCCAGCTGTTTATTTGCCTCCTCTGTAGAAGAAGTGGCTTCAGAATGTGACTGTGTTGAATTGCCATTAGCCACAGGAACATGAAGTACTAATAGTGATATCTGCTCTAAATGGGCTGCTGGAATATTTGAGGAGCTTTTGTGTTAAGATTGAGTGAAGGGCTTTGTGCCTGTAGGGAGTGATGGTGTCTGGTTCCCCTCTCAGGTGTGGTTCTTGTGCCTGTGAAGTCTGGGTGATTTGATTTATTGGGAATGTTATCATGTAACATAACAGAGGATTTTGAGTTCACCGCTCCTAATCCTATTTAAATTAAAAGACTACTTGTTTAAGTACCTTTCCACCATCTGCACAAGAAATAGAACCCTCTGAGAAGATAAATAATCTGGTTTTATTTCTACTTGACAAAATTACAGCTTTTAATGGGGAAGTGTAAGCCTTTATGTACCCTGGATTAACAGAATGAATGATCTGAAACACGGTGATCTCTTGATGATGAGTTCTCTTTATTTGGTAATGCTGGAATTGAGACTTCTGGAAAGTATTCCTAAAGCTTTCAGGGTAGTTTAATTGTCTCTTGACAAGGTGGCTTCTCTCCTGAATTCCCTCATCATTGATGACAGAGCTTATTTTGTTGAGAGTTTGTGATTTGTGCAAAACCATAAGGGGCTTGATTGTCTATTGCCAAGTAACTGGTACTGTCACTTACATCCCCTTTGTGTTACCATAACCCATTGCTTTGGGAGCATTTGGAATGCACCTGATGCAAGACAAACCTGCCATTTGGAGCAAGAAAAGTTTCAAATTCAGTGTCTTCCAGTGCTTTTCAGGTTAAAACCAAAGCAGAACCTCACTTCAGTGGAAACCCAGAGTGCTTGGGGGTTTTGTCCTCCAAATCTTCCTCCTTTCACCTGACTCCTGCTGGTAATCCTTGCTGATGATGTTGCTGGTTCCCAAATTTAACCCAGAGTTTGGAATTCCAGAGGCTCCCATGCACTATACCTGATGTAACCACAACTATGTGGCAATAACATCAGCAGTGTGAACTTTGTTGTAAAGGAGCAATAACTTGGTTTTTTTTATCAGTTCCAGCACTCAGAGGCTGAGGTTAAAGTCCTTTTTGCCAAGTGCTGCTTTGAAATGTGGGTGTGTGGGCTGGGGAGCCTGGGTGCCTTGCAGTGCAATTGATCTAGGAATGAGTCCAATGCTCAGACTTGCAGAGGCATCCTGTTTCCTTTTGAGGGGGGGAAGAAGGACCAGTTTATGTGGGGGCTGAGCCTTTTGTGTTCAGTGATGGGATGGAGAAGATCTGGGCTGTGAGAACCAGTACTCCAAGTATCCATCTCTTCTGTTGCTCTCTGGGTTCATACAGCGAGTTTGTGACTTCTGTATTTAAAGATTCCCTGGCAGACAGTTCTGGCTCTTCTCATACAAATTGCTGATGTTGGAGCAAAATTGCTCTGATAATTTTTTGTGTCCTCAGAATTTGTGCTGACATCTTTTCTCCAAATTCTTCTGTATGCATCCCTTTTTGGGGAAGAGAGGCAAGAGAAACTTGGATCAAAATGCACAGCTGCTCCTCACTGTGGCTGCCCACTTCTGTGTCTGTTGCAGTTCAGAGTAAAGGTTTTGAGGGACCTTATGACCTCTGTGAGGTCCCATTGCTGCTCCCTCATTCTCCCTGGGGGATAACTAGATGTTAATTATTTGGGTTGGAGGCCCAAATCCCCCTCTGTGTGGCACAAGTGGGCAACTGGTTAAAACGGCAGAATCTCCTTTATTTCCCTGACATCTCCTATGTTTAGCTGTTTATTTCCTTCCCATTTTGCTAATGCTGGTGTTTGTGCAGACACCTGGTGAGACAGATTAGGAAGCTGATCCAGCTGAAAACTAACCCATTTTGGTGAGGGAGTGGGAAAGGATTTGTTTGGGGACTCTTTGCTGTCTCAGAGAAGAAATAGGAATGAGGAGAAGGGAAAGATGCTGCCTCTTTTGCAGCAGCCTGTGCTCATGTTGGATTAAAGTGGCTCTGGGCCCACACCCATGGTTATTGTTGTAAAGTGGGTGGCAGTAATCTCTGCTGGATGATTCCAGGTTCCTTTCACCCTTGATTTTGAACCTGCAAGGAGGCATTGCTGTCCCCCTGCCTCAGCTCCTCTGTCCTTCTGGAGCACAGGGAATTGCTGCACTGCTGAGTTTGCCCCTCTGCTCTGTGGTGCAGGGCTCTCACTGACCCATGTTGTGGTAACAGGCAGGTACCTGTGGAGTTCACACTGATTGGTTTCTCTTCTTTGTTTCCCCAGGTGATTTCTCTGGCCAGCTTTTAGCTTATTTGAGTCTTGGTCCAATATTCATTATTGTTGGCTTTGTAACACTCATCATATTCAAGAGAGAGCTTCACACGGTGAGTCCTTCTCTCCCTTCCCAGCCTCTCCTTATGACAAAAGTCTTTTCCTTTGTCACCTGGGGCTCCTGTATTCACACTTCTTTTTCTCTCTAAAAGGAGCAAGCTGAGGAAAGCCATCTTCCTGTCAGGGAGCAGCAGGAGACACTTAGCACCCGTACCAGGTTAAAAGGCTGCTCAGCCTTTTCTGACTTCTCTGGTGTGTTTTGGACAGTATCTGTCCAGAGCCATCGAGGGAGATGTCTGAGGAAGTACAGAATGCTGTTGCAGAGTAGGAACACTCCCAAGATCCAGAAGGATCATAGCACTGGGCAGCATATTCAGGAAATAGTGCATCCCCCTGAGTTACACACACCTTCTTTGAACTACTGAGGCAGAAAAGGGGATAAAAGTAAAACCTAAAGCTTTCCAAGGGAGTGGATCTGTCTTTAAGAGCTGTTTTTTTAAATGTGAGTTGAATACCAGGGGCAGAAAAGACTTGTTTCAGTCCAAATTCTTAAAATGCTTTTTATCTGCTCTGCCAGGTAGTTGGGAATCAGTGTCATGGATAAACTCCCTCTAGGACATATAAACCTCTTGTAGCATTTGTCCTCAGTAAACAGATAAAACAGGGGCCACTGAAAGGATTTTGACAGCACATTTCAAATGTGGGGCCACAGTGTCATGGGAACCAGTGGCCCAAGGGACCTGGGATAGGACTTTTAATTAAGGAAGGCAGCTGTACAGTTTTGACAACTCAAAGGTTTTGTGTTGGCCCAAAAGAGAAAAGAAGCCAGAGTAACTATTGCACAGATTGATAGGATTCTCCATACAGGGATTTGTTTGGTGTTGGTGAGGAGACAAGTGCTGAGGTTGTTTCTCAGTTCTTTGTGTGGGAAGTCACCACTGGGCAGGAGAGAGACACTGGCTGACTTGCAGCAGCCTGAGATGTGGCTCAGGATGTGGAGTGAAAAATTGCTTCATCATGTGGAATAGGTCTGAGTGCTAAGGAGGCAGTGTCATCACCAGCTGGGAATTTGATCACAGCAGCAGGCTAATTTAGGGGAGGTGTATGAGCTGTGAAGTTGAAGAGCAAAAATAAATGCTACCAGGTCTGGCTTAGCTCAGAATGTGAATTCATCTTAGACTGAAGACAGCAGCTTCAAGATGAAAATATTCATAGAGGGAAAAGCCAGAAAGCCTAAAAAGTCACCTTTGTTTTAAACTATTTACCCAAATAACAGTGTCTGCACTCCCCCTGTTGGTCACTGGGAAAAGCCAGTTCCCAAAAACCTGCCCTATTAGAAAGGTCACTTTCTGCACTCAGTGGTGCAAGGTGCTGGCAGAAGTGCTCTACTGTGCCATTTTTGTCTTTCTGTGTGTCAGCTGCTGAAAAGCTGCATGTACACAATATGTTGCCACATAGAAAGTGAGATGAAAATAAATGCTTTTCTTCTCAGGTATAGAATTTGGAAGCCATTGGTTTTAACTCTAGTAGTCAAAAAAGAAAATTAGAAGCATAATGTTTGGGGTTTTACCAACAGAGAGAGCCTGGTAAGTAGAAGGATGTCTTAGAGGGGATGACACAGCTGTCTTGCCTTCACAGATCTCTTTCTTGGGAGGGCTGGTGTTCAACGAGGCAGTGAACTGGTTAATAAAAAATGTAATCCGGGAGCCTCGGCCGTGCGAAGGTAGGGTATGGACCATGAATGGGGTGGTGTCAGGGGAGTTGGGGTGGAATGCTGACTGGGGGGAGTTAGAGGGGTTTTCCCCCTTTGCCTCGTGTTGGCTGTGGATGTTTGGGTGTAAAAAGGCTGACAGAGCCTCCTGAGCAGGGACGTGTCCTGTGAGCTTTGTGCATGCTCCAGCAGCACGGTCTGGCTTCACATCTGGAGTGTTCCAGCTGCTGACCATACCTTGACCATCATCTTTTTTCTTCTCTTCCCAGAAGCCCATTCAACAGTGACCACAAAATATGGGATGCCGTCCAGCCACTCCCAATTCATGTGGTTTTTCTCTGTCTATTCCTTTCTGTTCCTTTATTTAAGGTAAAAATTCCAGGTCAGGTTTTGGCTGTTAATATGTTGAAACACCTGAAATGGGTGGCTCCCTTGCTGGGTGCCACTTGAGTGGGATAATGGAATTAAATCTGAGGACCTGCACAATTTGTTGTGGCTCGGGTGGGATTGGAGCATGTCTCTCAATCTGAATGTAGGGCTGGAGTTTCTTTCTCTAAGCTGTGATGGTGCCCCAGTGCGAGGGAGGAGATGGGGGACAGGGAGGAGAAATGAAGAGCTGCTTTCTCATTTTGTCTCAGTTTCAGTGGGGTTATCTACAGTCTTTTGGCTAATACCATCTGTCCACTTGCATGACTTTAGTTGATTTCCCTTACCAAGTACTGGGTTTACTTGTGCTTTAATGAAATTCTTGCTGGGGCATGGCTCTGTCTCGTGGCTCTGTGTGTGGAGGAAGACAAAACTCGCAGTTCCTCCGGGCTCTGTAGGTGATGGAGGGGATTCTGTCTTGGCTCCCTGTTGCATGTGCCCAGCACATGCCTCTCACATCAGTGTGAGCATCCTGCCTTCCATCACAGCAATCCCTGTTCACAGCTGAGAGAAACACGTGTGGCTTCTTGGCTGCTCTCTAACTGCTGCCAGTGGGACAGATTGCTGCTGGGATGGGATTGAACTGCCCATGACCCCAGTGGAGCAAAGCTTTCCTAGGGTTTCAGAGGGAGGGTAGGACTGCTCAGCTCCCTGCCCTGTGCTAATGGCTCTCCATCTCTTTCAGAATGCACCAAACAAACAACGCGAGGTTTCTGGATTTGCTGTGGCGACACGTGCTGTCCATCTGCCTCGTCACAGTGGCTTTGCTAGTCTCATATAGTAGGTAGGGAGCAACTGTTTCTCTTCTGCTCTCATCCATCCTCGTGGCCTGTCCCAGCCAGCAGCCCTGGCATTCCTTATCCTGCCTTTCCCACCTAATTCTCTGCTGTGCCACACGAGTCAGAGCTTTGTAGAAGTGTTGCCATGAGACTCAATAAACAAAGGTTCTCCGTGTGTGGTGCTTCACATTTACAAAACCCCAAATCAGCTGAACTTGTGCCATGCTCCATCCAGCCTCACTGCCTTGCTCTCTTTCCAGCACTAAGTGTGGAGGCATTGCCCCATGCCTGGGCACAGCAGCATCTGCAGCATGTGGAGGGCTACAGCTGATCAGTCCCACTGTTTTGCTTGAGCATTAGTTAATCAAAACATTTATAGCTGTTGGCTCGCAAGAATTGGTTGTATTGAGATGGATAAAGAAAATAGAACTGTGATCATGACTTTTTTTCCTCTTTAGTAGATTAAATGTAAAGTGAGCTCCAGTAATTGGAAAAACAAACAAATTCAAGCTAGAAATAGGGTCACATTTTCCACAGGAAAGTAATTACCTGTTGGCACAGTTGACTGTACTCTACAGCTGATTACTTATTACTAATTATTTTAAAAGCCTGACAGGACAAATTTGTCAGCGGTATATGGTCTAATTAAAACAAAATTAGAGGAAATCAAGTGACCTATGTTAGACAGAAGGTCAGATAAGATGATCATAATGATATGTGAGCAAAAAAATTTTGAATGTAGCTTGTGCAGGCCAACAGTGCAGCTCTGAGTGGAGTCACAGTGAGCACATTGGTCATGTAGCCACTGTGCCTGTCACATTGGAGAGCACTAAAATCACACAAAAAATTGCTGTCCATGTTCTTGAAAGCCTTTGGTGGCCTGGAGGAGACTTGTCCTGTTACTGCCTTTGGAAAAGTCTCTTGTGAGAACTAACAGTATTAGTTCTTCAGCTGATCTGAAGATGGGTGGAGGGTTTTTGAGTTAAGCTCAAACTAAAAGTGCTCCAAGCTGAAACTGCTGTAGCAGGGAAGAATTTTCCACATTTTTGTCCCCCCACTATTTTTGCCAGCTTTTTACTGAAAAAAGACCTCCACTTCTAATGTCTGGAGGATAGCTTGCACCCATGTCTGTGGGTCCAGTGACACCTCAGCTCCTGAGTCTTGGCTCCTTTTGTTTTAAAGCCTGTCTGGTGACTCTTCTCTTCCACTGCAGGGTTTATTTGCTTTACCACACCTGGAGCCAAGTCCTATATGGAGGTGTGGCAGGAAGCATCATGGCCATAGCCTGGTTTGCCTTCACACAGGAGATCCTAACTCCCCTCTTCCCGAGGATAGCTGCGTGGTAAGTCTCTTTATTCTGTGGAGGTTTGTTATGGATGTTAGAGATGAGAATCCCTGGGCTCTGTCCCAGTTTTGCATACTGGCTGTTGTGTAACCTACTTTGTTCCTCCATGTTTTCTTGTACATGCATATATACAAAAGATCACGTGTTCTTGATAAGGGTGGGGAAGAGGGAATTCAATGAATTGCTACATTTTGTAAAGCCCTGCTAAAGCTGTGAGGTGTGGCAAGCCTGCTGGAGGAGCTTTGCAAGATGAACAGCAGACCTTTCTTAATGAATGTCTAATGACCTAGTCAAATTGCAGAGCTATTTACATGTAATATAGTCTGGAAATATTGCATAAGGAAAGAAAAAATGTTTTTTTAAAATTGAACACAGAATTTTTTTGACAGCCTGAAGTAATAGAATAGTACTGTTAAGTAGAGCAGGTTTTGGGGTTTTTTATTTTTTTTAAATCAAAATTCCGGTGAAGAAAGTCTAATTATTTCCCCCTTTCCACCACATTGTCCTTTTCCAGGCCAATTTCAGAGTTCTTTTTAATCCGAGATACCAGCCTCATTCCTAACATCCTGTGGTTTGAATACACAGTCACGAGAGCAGAAGCAAGGTAAGTTCTGTTGGGAATGGAGGAGCTGTTGCTGTTCTGACCTTTCAGATGCAGTTATTAATTAATTCTCTGATATGTAGCTGATAATTTTTGGCTGCTGTGGGTAGAATAGCTCAAAGTAAGGAAATACTGAGTTGTGGGTTAAAGACTGCATCTGAAAGGTGAGTCTGGAGAGGGTGTGAGTCAAGAATTTAATCTCATTTAAGTAGCATTTCAGCTCCCTGGCTTATGGTTTTTGCAAGCAATTGTTTATAATCTTGCATCCACACATGAGCTTGTGTGCACTGGAGATGGGGTGGGTGTTCTGGGAGGGTGGGGAGAGGGAAGGAACGATCAGCTTGGGCATGGCAGGGCACTTCAGTTTTGCGTGGAGCTAAGCAGAGGCATACTTCAATCCTCCTGCATTTCCCTGTGGTTCGTTGCAGCCCCTGGGCTGGGTCCCCTGTGTCACCTGTGCCCGTGTTGCCTTGCAGGAACAGACAGCGCAAGCTGGGTACGAAGCTGCAGTGACCGGCACGTGGGGACCGGGGCGCGTTCCAACGGAGACAGACAAGAGCAGAGACTGGGAGCAGCAAGGAGCCTTTTAACAGACGGACCAAAGGAACAGGCAGGGACCATACCCAAAACCTGAAAGCCTTTGCTCTGCTTTAGCAGCTAAGCTGGATGCTCCCTGATGCATGTGGGACCGTGCAGGAGTAGAAACTCATTTTGAACACAGATGCACATGGTTGGATGTACCATCGTGTCTACGTCAGGGGAGGGGGGAGAAAATGCCTGGTGTCGTGTTCGGGGGAGGGAAAACCAAAAATGAATCCTTTCTGTGACTTTTTTTTTCAGCATGAAATATACACACTATTTATTTATTTTTTTAAATGGAACTATTGTTTATGGGGTGGGTGAGGCGTTGATTGTGTGTTTTGCTTTTTTTAAAAAAATTTTTTTTGGAAGAAGATGACAAAACTATAATATCAAGTTGATCATGTTTAATTAGGGCTTCTCATTCTTAACATGGTTCTTAAGAGGGAGGGAATCTAGGAGGGGTGACCTAGACAGAAGGGAGAGGAAGACCTTCCTTTCTGCAGTCAGTTTGAGAGATCAAAATCAATTCCAACTGTACTTTGTACAGACAAAAAGACAGACTGTAAAGATCTGATTTTTAACACTAGTGACAGTTCTGCAGGGAATCCTGCATGGATACCAGTTAAGGGGAGTGTGTGTGTAAAACAAAGGAAAAACACAAATATACTGACTCGTATTTTTTTCACTGCTGCTCCTGTTGTGTAATTAGCAAGAGTGTCCTTTTCAGAATCTCTTCTAGGTGGCAGGATTATCATACATATCTCACATTTATTCCATCTCTTCCTTTACACTTTTATTATCTCAGGGGTGCTGTGCTCTGTACAGCTTTTGTTGTACTGAGTGAGTGCTGAGGGCACTGGGAAGCCCATTGGTTATAAGCAGTGCTGTGCTCCCGTGAGTCAGCCCAAAGCCTTACAAAATTCAGTTGCTGGTCTCTGTCTTAAGCACTGGATTTTTTTTTTCTGTTAGAACTTAAGGGAGGGATTTTTAAGAATGAACATAGTGACAACCACAAATGAACAAGGCAAATGACTAACAACTAGCTCAGCTGCTCTCTGAATTATTCCTTGAAGAGCCCTGTTAGACTCCATCCATGAACTCCAAGTAGAGAATTGTCCTAGCAGAGGCTCCTGCCAGTTATCACAGTAGCTTGGTTGGGGTTCTGCAGCTGTAACCCTGAATGCTGAACTCCTGCAAGCAAGTTTTGCTGTCCATCCTTCTTCCATTGCGGTTCTCCGGTGGCTCTGGATGCTGTGTCTCTGTGGGAGTGTGCCTGCCATCTCTGTGTGCTGGTGATGCCTTCGACCTCTGTGAGCCATGAACTGACCTGGCAAGGGCTATCCTCCAAGTGCTTCAGGGCTGTGCATGGACACTTTCTGTATTTCTAGTATATAATGCAGCAGTTCAAGTGTAACTACAGAGAAGTATTTATTCAAAGCACAATTGACTTGAACTTTCACAGATAAAGGACAGCTTCTGAACTGGCTCAAAGGTCATCGGTGTGCCTTCGATGCAGTCATGAGCAGAGGTAAAATGACTGTCACATCTGAGTCTTGCTGCTTGTTTTACTATCTCCACTTTAATCAGACTCCTGCATTATAAAGCTGCTTGAAGTGAGATTTTTTTTTTTCTGCTGTTCATGCTGTTTTTTGGTTTTTAAGTTTTCATCTGTGCCTGTTGCTATAGGAGTTTGTGTGTTTGTGTGGAAATGGGAGCTGCTGTTGGACACCCAGAGTGTAAACTGTAGAAAGTAATCCTGATTCAGGAGATCAGGAATGAAGGCTGTTTAAATTTCTGTGTTTAAATAGCTACGGGTAGTAAATGAACTGTTTTCAGTTGGTACAGCAAGTTTATATATAAATTTTTAAAAAACTGTTTAGCACTTGCATAACACAAACAATCCTGTAACATCTGAAGGACCCCAGCACTGGATCTGCTTTGAAGGTGCATCATAATCAAGAGGCATCTTGCAGCTTTCACAAGGACATTTGGTCTGCCTTAGACCAGCTCTGTTGGATGAGACAGGACATCAGACAGGTCCCGTGACATGGTGGTACCACATGTTTCAGTCTGAAAACTGGTACTTGATGTCTTGCAAAACAATTCATTTCCTCTTTATATCTCTTGTAAGTGCACTGACAAAGCCAGAACAGAGATCACAGCTCTCTTCCAAGGTTGCTGAAGGAGTGGATTGTTTCAGGCGTGGCTTAGCACTTCCCCAGCCTCTCCAGCTGTTATGACAGACTGCTGGAAAAAATAAATACATGGAAACACCTATTGAGCATAGGGAAGAGGGTTCATCTCCTCATGGAGAGCAGTGCAGTGTAAAAAGCTGTTCTACTTCATGTTGCCTTCAAACCCAAGCTTCCTACAGTAATTCTTAGGGAGAGGAAGAAGAGTTCTTGTAAGACACTGTAATAAACTCTCCTCTGTTCTCTCTGAGTTGTTTGTAATCTGCATCTTCTGCCTACTTTTGCTGTACTTTTTCAGAAATCTTTGCAATACTTGATATACAGTAGAAATTTCTTAGTGATTCCATGGATTTTCTTAACTAAATGGTGCTGTGCAGGAAAAAGATTTGAGCTCTGCCTTATTATCCTACACTTGTATGAAATCTCCTGCCACTAGTTTTCTGAAATTGAATGTTTTCTTTGGAATATGTGGCTTTGCAAGCAGATGATTTCTCTTCCTCCCCTGTACTCAAGGGGGCTGGATGGAGATGTGACAATAAAAGGAAGGTGACAGAATGCTGTGGTTCACTGTTCTTGCTATCCCCACACAAACATTGTCCCATGAAGAGCAGTTATGTAACTTCTGCAGTGTTTAAGGAGATTTAAGCCTTTTTGTAGCATTTATCTGTTTATTGTGTCCCAGTTTATTCAACAAACATTTCCAAACTTTGCATGACATGGATCCCACTACCCAACAGTATTTAACACAGCTAACCAGCAAAACATGCAACACTATCAGGCTGTGTCAAAAATTGCACTCATACCCCAAGAGTTATCTGAATATTTTCAGTCTATGAATTTCTGAAATAATTTGTTCCAAATCAGTCATTTTTCTGGAGCTTTAGTTCCTTCTACTTAATGTGCCTTTAAGACAATGGGCATCTCTTGATAAAACAATCAGAAACAGGGAGAACAGTATTCAGTGAGTCAACAGTGAAAAAATCTTGAAGATGCAAACCAGAAGGACATCACATTTTAGAACTTGTGCCATAAGAAAAGACTTTTTAAAGGAAAAACCTTGTAATGATTTTAGTGTCCTTTCAAGCACTTTAAAAATCAACCTCATTCATCTGAATTTCAGCTCTGTGTTTTAAGGATGCATTAGGTGGTTTATGAATCTTGTATCTCTTTGAGTCTTCTCCCTGCAGCTGTACTCTGCTGAAGCTAGTGGGATGTCCAGATTTAGATCCAGAATAGATCAATCCAATCTTCTGAGATACAGTCTTCAGCAGCACATGCTTATGCTTAGTCTTTATAGGCACTTTGCTTTGAGAGCCTTCCCCTTTGAGACAGAAGTGGAAAAGGGCCAGTTTCAAATACTTCAGTGGCACTACTTGTGCTTGAAGGCATTGCAGACATGGAAAAAGAATTCATCCCCTGGCAACAGAGGCTGATTCAGTATGGGGGGAGGATTACTTTGGCAAAGGGAATATTTTTTTCCATGTAAAGGCTCCATAAATCCAGATGTTATTCCAGTAAGGTTTGTTCTTGTCTGTCGTATTTACACAATCATTTAGAGTTTGATAATACTGAGTATCCTCTTGCAGTTTTCAGTCTGATTGATACAGAGGAGTCACCAGGGCAGGGATTTCTGCTTGCAGGTCTGTAGTGCTCCTATTCATGTTTTTAGGCTGTCTCACTCCATTCAGGATTCTTCTAAAAGATCAACTAAATCCATGTAGATGATGTGAAAGTGGCATTTCAATCAAGTTTAATACAATCACTGGCTGTGCAGGTGAGTTTCAATTAAATTTTCCTCTTTTAAGGTATGTTATTAGGTATAAGATAGACACTTTGAAATAACATCCTTTCAGGAAAAAAATGCCAAAGCATTGGCATGTATATTTTGAGAAGCAAATTAGAATTATTTTTTCTTCTTTTACTTTAAAAAGCTTTAGTGCAAATTTGTTCACATATGTTCATCAAGGCACTTTGATCATGTCCCTTGCAATTATTTCCCTGTTAACAAAACAGGCCATCACACTCCTAATGCTTCTTGTTTATGATGACATCCCAGCAGACACATCTTGAAGGGTGTGCAATTTAAATACAGAATTCCTACTGCAGAAAGAGCACTAGATTCCTTTATTACCATATGGTTTTACTAAATAAAAGTGTAGTCAGGAGCTTGGGTTCTGACAGATTGCTTGGAAGCAGTTCCTATGCTACCATTGTATGTTAATGTTTATATATAATCTTTCACTGTCTCAAGTTTGTCAACTGAACATAAAAACAGTATCACATGAGATCATTCTCTCACAGAATAAAGCTGGCACAAATTGGAGAAGTATTTCAGTAAGAAATAACTCCCCAGAGTGGCAGAAAAGGTGCTGTGCAAGGAACAGTGGCTGTCACAGTGCAGAAAAAAACTACAGGGTATATGTGTACCCTTCTTTCTTCCTGTTTTTCAAGATTTTCTGCCTTGTTACAGCAGAGTGAAAGAAGGGTTTCTGCAGCTTTTTTTCCTTTGTCCTTTAACGGATTTCAGCTCTGTGGAAGGAATGGAAGTATGTTCTGGAGTTCCCATCAGAAACATCCTTGTTTGTCCACAGCTCAGGCATAACATTGTGCACAAAAATGCTGTTTCTGAAAGCAAGGTGTAAAACCACATTGGGTTAATGTGTGTCCTGAGGACAGCAGGCATGTGGCTTGTTAATAGAGTCAGCATCTTTTTCTTTTCCTCAGCTCCAAAGAAAGGGACAATGGAGCAAGTGTCCTGCTAATTGGCTAGGAAATTCCTTCTCATCTCTGCAGATGTGAAGGTACCTGAAACCAAAGCTGGTAAAACTTACATGAGGAGAGTTTTGTAGAAGCCTTATGGGGAAAAAGCTTAAGGCTGAGCTGGATGATCAATGGTAGGACCACGGCAGGAAGCTGAACAAAAAGCAAGAATAACAAAAATAACGTGAAACAGTAAAAATCACCTTAGTTTGTATCAAGTAATGTCCTGTTGTTAAGAAGGTCAGTGTAAGATGAAGGAGATCCAGTGTCCTGAACAAGGGGAAGAGAACATTCCTGCAAAACCTGTACTGGTTGGAGTGCCTGGGATAAGTAGTGCAGTGTACTCTAATGAGACTGGATCTGCTCTGGCTTAACTTCCTTCTCCCCTTGCTGAAGCTGAATGATGAGGCTTTGCTGGAGCAGTAGAAAAATCTTCAGTCAAGACTGGAAGATGCTCTTCAGAAGATGAAACCAGGAAAAAGACTTGGTCTTGCAGTAGTTCTGTCATACAATAAACATTCCCTGCTTCTCATGCACAAGAACTACCTTCCTCACCAAATGGATTTAGACACTGGCAAGGACTGTGCTTTCTGTATTCCCTTAGAGTAGTTTTCATAAAAATTATATTTGTGTCCTCTTTGAGGACAGGAAGGCGCACTTTGCATTGATGGGAGAGGCCCTCTCAGTTCTACTTTGCTTTGAGGCAGTGTTTCCTCTCATATGGAGTCTGATGTCTGTGGGTGACTATTCTGTAACACCTTGCTGAAAACAAATGGTAGAGATCTTCTTAGGTTCCAGGGCAAGCTGTTCTCTGAATAATTTTCTGAGGAACTGGGAGCTTCAGTGCATCAGGGATAGCCCATTTAACTGGGGGGTTTCCCTGTTACAGTTTGGATTTGGGAGCAGCCTGGAGCAAGACCCTCATGTCTAGCAGTGCTTTCTCAAGGTAATGTGCCATGCGGGCTGCGTTTGTGTCAGCACAGCTGTTGAAGGCTGAAATTGCAAAGTTGATGTGCTCCTCCATGGGGTTGTAACACACTCCATAGCCATCTGGAACCACGGGACCAAAACACATCACACAGTCTGTCTTGGCTGGGACCTGTGGAGACAATGTGATTAAACCCTTCTGACCAGTCAGAGAAAAATGAAAACATCAAATGGAAATGGCTCTGTCAACAGAGGAAACTCATCTCATTAAACTGCTCTGGAAGGGCCTTTGCTCACCCTCACCTCCCACCTCATGTGCTGGATCCTACCATTTAGCAGCAATGTGTTTTCCTCTGCATTAACACAGGAGTGCTTCTCCCCAGGGTAAGCTTGTAGTAAGTCACAAGTAGAACTGTTCAGTAAGAATCAGAGCACAGTACTTAACACAAAGCTCTTCTGGCTGCTGACTTCATTGACACCACTTCAATTTAGACACCAAACACTCTTGGTGATCTTGGCTTTGGTTATGTTAGTGTTTTACATGTCTGTGAGAGACTGTGGCATGTGTAAGATCAGATCTGTAGCTCTGTGGGATTGACAGCCAGCTTAGAAATTTCTGACCCAATGTAGATGAGTTTCTAACAAAAAGGAACTGAAGAGAAACATGGAGAAGGAAGGCATGATAAGGAACAGAGAGTGCTTTTGGCTCAGATGAGTTGTACCTGGCTGGTTGAGAGGTTGAAGTGCATTGCAACAGCATAGGCTGTGTCCATGAAGAGCTCGGGCATGCTGACCAGGTCCTCGATGGCCTGCAGCTTCAGCCCCAAGAGGTGCCGGTCTATTGCATTGCCCCGTATGGCCTGCAGGAAAGCAAGGATGGACACGTGAAAGCCAGGCCAGCAGCAAGTGAGCTAAACTATTTCTCTGGGTTAAAGAAAACACTTCTAAAAAGTCTCTAAATGCTTGAAGTTAGAACGAAATTAGACGTTGCCTTTAAGACCAATAATCTTTGTAAGGACTGTGAAATTAAACACACCAGTGCCAACAACCTTACAGTTCCTGCCCATTTTGAAGTTAGAAGGAAACTAGACGTTGCCTTTAAGACCAATAATCTTCTTTGTAAGGACTGTGAAATTAAACACACCAGTGCCAACAACCTTACAGTTCCTGCCCATGGACTCCCTCTGGTTTAAGGGCTCCTTGAGCAACTTCGGTGTTTATCAGCAACAATGATGGTAAGAAATGAAGCTATTGTAATACTTGATTCTCTCCTTTAGGTCAGTCACAAGGGACACTTAACACACCAGCTAGAGAGGATTAAGTCTGTGGCTTTAGAGCACTGCCAGAATCAGCAACACTGATGCAACACTGATGGCCACACTGCTGTGTCAGGAGCAAAAGATGTTCAGGTCTTGTCTTTCCCCAGAACCCTCAATTACTGGGTAAACTCCCAAGCCTGTCTGCATAAAGGACACTCACCATGTCTGTGTATTCCCTGTGGGCCTGTGTGGCTCTCCTCAGCAAGTCTGCTTTCTCCTGGTCCTGAGAACACACAAATCTGTTTTAGTTTTTCTGCAGAATGGAGAACCTCATTTTGGTTGTTCTCTAGGATGGAGGACATTTCTGCTTTATGTGTTTGTATGAAACTCATTTAAATTTACTAGATTTAATTTTTACGTCATTTTGTTTGGCAGCATTACTTCATTCTGAACAGAGTTCATCCATCAGTAGCAGAACTCAGTTTGAGTAGCTGAACAGCCTTACAAAGGACTTTCTGGTGGGCTCAGAAACATCCACATGTTGTTTCCCAGGCTTTCAGTACATATGATAGAGAAATCAAATCAAACCCCTGATGTGAAGATAGTGCAAGCTATGGTTTAGCTCAGAATGGGGTGCAGTCCTTAGCTGAAACCAGGTGACAAGGGGTTGGCCAAATAAACAGCTTTTCTCTTTTCTGGATTCCTCTTACTCCACTTCTTTGAGATCCTCACCGATTTGTCAGGGCTGTCCATGGACTGCACAAACTTGAGGGAGTCCACGGAGGTGGAGCGGATGGTGTCGGTGCGGCCCAGGCGGAACATCCTCAGTGACGCGCTCTCGTACGTGGCACAGGCGCGGCCGTACATCCTGGCACAGGGAGGAGACAGCCACAGGTGAGTCTGCCCTGGGAGAGCCTTATCTGTGCCAGCTTTATCAAGCTCACATGTTTGAGTCTGAGGCTGAGGAATGACCTATGCATGGTCTTACCTGTAGTATGCCAGCTGCAAGGCCAGCTGGATGAAAGCATCTGGGCTTATCTTCTCTGACTTGGGAAATCCTTTCCCAAATTGATGAAAGACCATGACTTTGATATCCAGATCGTCAACCATTCTACAAGGAAAGAAAGAGGAACTGTTCCTCTGTTGCTCGGTCTTGTAACACAGTGGAATGGATTTGCTTTCACAAGGCTCAGAGGGAACAGGCCATCTGGATTCTGACCTATGCAGGGACAGAGTGTTCCAGCACACACAGATCTCTTTGGGCAGCACCACAGAAGTAAGAATTTTTGGCCACTGCTGAAAATCTTCACCAGGTTAGATGGTCATGTGTGTGTTTATGCTCCAGTATTCTTGACTGGATCCAGTAAAGCCTTGCTCTTTCTTAGCAAATGGGATGAATCAGTAATAACCCTTTTCTAGCACCTGTGACCTTATTCCTGGCAGTGCTTTTCAGCTCAGCTCAATGCTGTTGAGCCCAGAAGTCACTGGGAAAACTCACTGCCTGCAGTGGGGAAAGTCTCATTAAATCACTGACAGGCTCCAAAGGGGGACAAGAATTACTCCCTCAGTCACCCACCCACTTCTCCATACTCACATGTTGAGGTTTTGCTTTGCCTTCTCTATGTCATTCTTGATTTCCGGGGTGATGTTAAACCGCAGCTTTTTGGGCATTGGCAGATGAACTGTAGGCGATTTGCCCGTCTCGGGTTTCTTCCTGCACAGAGAAATGGTTCTGTTTGACCAGACCTTTGGCATGAGGCTCAGCTAGGAATGCCACAGCCTGGATAGAAACGCACAGGAGACCTTCCCTAACACCTTGTGACACTGGTCACAGCCTGACAGACCCCTCAGAGTGCCAATAAGGGATCTCCAGTGCCAGGGAAAAGCAGGGGCAGGACTCACGTGA